ATTTATTTCATTAAGATTTGTTTATTGATTTTTTATTTATTTGGAAAACATTTTTCATACTATATGATATGTTCTGACCATGATTTGTAACTATTCCCTAGCCCTACCCTCTGCCACACCTCCCTGCCACTCAATTTACAACATTTCTTTCTATCTATAGAATGCAAAAACAGAAAAAGCAAGATTTTAAAAAGCAAACAAATAAGAAACATGCACCAGCAACATGTTCAAACAGCAAATATCAATAGCTTATGTATAAATGAAAGTGGAAAATTCTCCTAATTTAGGAGTTTTTGAAATTTCCATTCACAATTATCCTTGTCACTATTACCACCTGTGAATCAATGTTGTAAAGGAAATGAACTAGTTTATCATGTTGGTATTCTATTTTTAAGATGAGAGATTAGGCTTATGTTATATCCACAAGTTCTACACAGGTCTCAGGAATGACTACTTGTTGAGGCAGGATGAGGATTTGAGCCTCAGCATCCTGTTGCCTCAGACATGTGCCCTCTACCTCCTTCTTCTCCAGCTCAACTAGGTCCTTATCTAAGAACTATCCTGCTCATGAATATGCAAATCATGTGAGCCTATAGGGGTAAATACGGGGATGTCCACACTACCAACAGCATATGATCAGTGTCCTCTCCACAGTCACTGAGCACACAGGTCCTCACCATGGGATGGAGCTGGATCATCCTCTTCCTGGTGACAGCAGCTACAGGTAAGAGCTCCAAGTTCCAGACTTGAGGAGGGGCCATGCACTCAGGTGACAGTGACATCCACTCTGCCTTTGTCCCCACAGGTGTCCACTCCCAGGTCCAGCTGCAGCAGTCTGGGGCTGAGCTGGTGAAGCCTGGAGCATCAGTGAAGCTGTCCTGCAAGGCTTCAGGCTACACCTTCACCAGCTACGTTATGAGCTGGGTGAAACAGAAGCCTGGACAGGGCCTAGAGTGGATTGGATATATTTATCCTGGAAATGGTGGTACTAACTATAATCAGAAGTTCCAGGGCAAGGCCACACTGACTGCAGACAAATCCTCCAGCACAGCCTACATGGAGCTCAGCAGCCTGACATCTGAGGATTCTGCAGTCTATTACTGTGCAAGACACACCGTGTTGTAACCACATCCTGAGTGTGTCAGAAACCCTGGAGGAGCAGGAAGCTGCCCTGGGACTGAGATGACAGAGTAGATTATCCTGGAGACTTGCTCAGAAATCATCAGTCTGAGTGTCCCTTTGTCACCTCACAGTCTTATAGAATCTTTGTCAACTTTTCAAAAGAACTGTTGGGAATAAATTGATGATGATTCAGGATGCCCCTACAGTACACAGTGCTTTGACCAGAACTTTATCAGTGACCACCTCGATTGAAATGATTCTTCTTTAACGAAACTAAATGGAAACTAGGAGAGTGGAAATGGAAATGCCTTTGGAGTAGCTGGTAATAAGCTACAAATCAACAATATCAGGGCAAACAAAAACCCTTGGACTTGATGTAGATATCCCCATGCAGGTTTCCTAGGGCTGACTTATGTGGGGACAGACAGTGTGTCTCAATAACTGAAACTTATTGCTGCCCTGATGCACCACAACCACACAAACCTCCTAAGACAACTTCCTGACCTGAACAGGATAGCTTAGAGAGAATAAAACAGTCTACAAACATTTCAGAGCAATCTGTACATAGGGGTGAAATTAAACAACTGAATACCATGCTCTGTCAAAGTAAACAAAGAGGGACACAGTCCAATAATACATCAAGTTCATAAGACCAACAACATTGTTAAATATATTTGTCATGAGAGAACAAAAAGGAAAACCAAATATATTGCTCTTGTAGATCCCAAGGACTAAGTGCAGAGAAGCCAGCAAAGGTGTTTCCTGACTCGGAGTTTGTTCCTCTCAGTTAACCACATACAATGCCCAGGAGACCATCTTGGATGGCAGTTAGAACCCTCCCCTAGAAGGATACAAGATGTGACATGGAGAAGTTCAGTTCCTAGAATCTGTTACTTTCCTGTAAATGTTCCCTAAAAGAAAATGACACAATTTAAAGACCCTCTCATTCCCTATGAAGACAGTACATCTCATCATAGAATGAATCCCTACATTAGAAACGAAGACTAGACTGTCATGTCTCAGAGAGCCAATCTCAAGGTTCTTCATGCTGAGTATCACCCAGTAAGGATAGAGTGTCATGTCCTGGGAGGGGAAAGGGTGGATTGCTGGAGAGACACCAGAGCAGGGGCTCAGAGTGGGGGCTCTATATTTCTGTCACCTTCTGGTACTCACACATATGGTTCATTTATAAATTAAAACAGTTTAAAATAGTAACTTGATGTAGAGTCATGCTACATCAAACACAGCCCACAAACAGACTATTAATAAACACAAAGGTTCAAGTTTTAGATTGTTACAGGCAAATAATATTCTATACAATTTTCATACCACTGTTTTCCTTTCTTATTTGAGACAGGCTTTCTCTGTGTAGGTATGGATCTTGTCCTAGAACTTCCTCTTAGAACAGTCTCCCCTTGAACTCACAAAGATCTGCCTGCCTCTGCCTGCTAAGTACAGGGATTAAGGTATGCACCACCACTGCCTGATCTTACCATTTTTTTCAATTCTAGGTGTCACTCGCCAATCATTTTTGCAAGAATTTGCATTAAGCTACATATTTGAAAACAATTGCTTCAAGTAAACATCAGGATTCAACATTCATAACTTTGTTAGTCCTTTTAAAATTATCAAAATTTTATTATAATGGCCTCTGTCAAAGCACAATGAAGTGAGGGTTTGAATTATATCACAAATACATAATAATAGGTAATTCTTTCATTCTTTCCCCAAAACTGAGTTTTGTCTCTATCATTTTCTCTAGGCAATTATAAGTAGAGTACTTTCACAACAAAACTCATTATACAACAGCAGGAACTGCAAACTAGGTCTCCCTCTACTCATAAAAACCACCCCAACCCTAACCTTGCAGCTCTGGCTGAGGAGCCTAGCCCTGGATTCCCAGTCTTCCCATTCATTGTTCAGCATTGAACACACAGCACCTACCAAGGAGTTGAGTGTTAGAGGAGATATACCAGTTGCTTCTAAATAAAACAGTTTTAAGAGTTTCTTAACCTGAGTCCTGTAAAGATCAAATATGGTCACTCAAATTCCTCCCGTATCCAACTTTCACTGCCCCCACAAGCTAGTGAGTTCTACAGCTTTTATAGTGTTACCTGTGTGTTTGTGTGTAACACTATGAGTAAAGTTAGAGTTGTGTACATGTACATATGTTTAGGGCAGTAAACTTGGAATTGAATAATTATAAGAAAGCTTGTCCTTGAAATAAACTGATTATTCCTCTCTCAGCAGTCATTGATTACTGGTTTTTCTTCATTTATGGGTGGGAATCTGTGAGGTTTAACCCTATGTTATGGACGTCGAGTTTAGAGATCTATATCATCAAGATTTCATGGGATCAGTATCCCTCTCCTGTCTAGAAGATACCATCTCACAGTGGCATCCTGGTCCTCTAGACCTTGCCCTCTTTCTGTCCCCTCTTAAGGACTTCCCCTAAGCCTTTTGTGTTGTGTTAACATTGAAGATGTATCCAGTGTAGTTGTGCATCCTTGGGTCACCTATTCTCCGAGAGTTTGTCTGATATGGATCTGTGTAATAGTCTCCATTCTCAATTAAAAAAACATCATTAATGAGGGCAGTAGAACTTTTATCTGAAGTTACAAGGATATATTTAAAACTAAACTTAGAAAGTGTGTGTGTGTGTGTGTGTGTGTGTGTGTGTGTGTGTGTTACAAGCAGGGTCCCAATGAAGGTCAAAGTATTTATAGTGGGGTTGGTGTTTAACTTTCTGCTTGGGTACCATGCAGGCAGAATATATTTTCGTTGTGGTATAGTATGATATGGAATAGTATGCTATTATATTTTTGTCACTGTCTGTATTGTTAATAGAGAAAGGCTTTATTTAAGTAACCAGGTCCTTCCACATTCTGTCTCCAGCTCCAGTACAGCTCTCTGTATAGACAGTGGGCTTACTGCCCCCTGTTCTATTGCATTAGATAAGAGTTCCACACATAGGAAAACATTCAGTTTTATTGCCATATTCTAACTGGTGGTCTCATGAATGATCTATGCCTGACTGACTGTTACCTGTGCACACCACAGATGCTGCTAGATCTTAGGGTGGTTGGATCATTTCCTATGTGAGAACTATTGTAAGAAGTTTTACTCGTTAGCATGGCAGATTTCTGTGTATCATGTAGTATTCCTCATAGGCTGATAATGGTTTTGCCTGGTGATATCATCTTTAACTCTTCTGTTTGACTCTTTCTTCCAGCAGGCTTTGTTTCCACAAAGTTTCAGTCACTCCAAGGTGCATAGTTTCTACCATGATCCTGAGATCTGAAGAGCAGAAAGAGGGGAATCTGTGATTAGTACGTAAAATAAATGAAAGAATTTAATAAAACAATACTAAAAAAAGAAATGGAGTTCCCAACCTCAGGGGGCAGCTACACTTAGGGCTGGAGCTGACTCAGGGAGTGCTCAGTGCATCATGGCTGAGGTCAAAACAGCAAAAAAAAATTGCTCCAGAGCATGTAACAGAACAATGCCCACTGCCCTCTACAACACAGGGCAGGAAGAACTGGGCTGAAATTAACCCTAAAATACATCTTTTATTTGTGAGTATTAAAATAAATAGATGATATTTAATGTGTACCAAAAACATAGCAGAGTACGACACAATAAAATTTCCTGTCATTATCTTGGTTGTCAGACTCTCTTAGCACATTTAGAAAGAAACTAGAGCATGTCATCTCTCCCCTCCAGCTACAGAGCTTACTATATAGCAGGAAGACATGCAAATATGGCCTCTCACTTTTCATGAAAACCAGCCCAGCACTGACCCTGAAACCCAGGCAGAGGAGCCCAGCTTGGATTCCCAGGACTTCATTCAGTGATCAGAACTCAGCACAGATCACATCATGGATTTGGGGCTGATTTGGGTTTTTCTTGTTGCTCTGTTAAAAGGTGATTTATAATGGAGAGATATTGAGTGTGTTAGTCGACACGATCAGGATAGATCCCGAGTCTTTATGGCAGTTTACTGATGTGATTCTCTGTGTTTGCAGGTGTCCAGTGTGAGGTGCAGCTGGTGGAGTCTGGGGGTGGCCTGGTGCAGACTGGGGGGTCCCTGTGGCTCTCCTGTGCAGCCTCTGGATTCACCTTCAGTGACTACTGGATGATTTGGCTCAGACAGACTCCAGAAAAGAAACTGGAGTGGGTTGCAAATATTAATAAAGATAGCAGTGTCACAAACTATGCACCATCCGTGAAGGGCCGGTTCACCATCTCCAGAGACAATGCCAAGAACACTCTGTACCTGCAAATGAACAGTGTGAAGTCTGAGGACACTGCCACTTATTACTGTGTTACTAACACAGTGAGGGGAACTCAGTGTGAACCCTGACATAAACCTCACTGTGAGGCCGCTCACGGGCACCAGGGTGCGCACAGCACACACAGAGCACAGGTCCATCCCAGGAGATTATGCAGACAGGGTTAGAGGAAGCACCCATCAGCTGTCTGTGCTGCACTTTTTCTTGCTGTTTTCTGGAAATTCTCTCTCCACGTGTGATGGGAAGGGATACAGTTCCTCAAAATTTTACATGTTCTCTTTGTACTGTTTTACAAATATGAAACACAGTCCCCCATAACAAAATGCAAACCGACAGCTATGAGGACATAAAGGACATTAACACAGTCACTGAAATCACATGATGAGGAATTCCTGGACTTTCCTGAGTCTTTTCTTACTCTAGGCAGAGTCTTGTTCGGATTTCTTGATTATAATACTCATAAATTAGTGTTTAAATGAAAACCAATGGGAAGGTGGGGCTGAGATCATTACCATCAACCCTAGCAGGTCGGGATCCTTCCCTTAACCTTCCCTCCTCTCCTCTAACTGAGGACTGTGCACAGTAATCCAGATGTGACCCAGCTGTGCTTTTACCTAACTCAGTTTATTACTGCATGACTTTCATCTCTGTCATCATGGAAATTTGTTTAAACTGATCCCTTCAGTTGTTGAAAGATGTGAATGAGTGTGGTATCTATGGTTTCAACACTGGGGGAACAAACAGATTGGTCATTAAAGCTTAGGGACAGGTCATTTGTGCTGAATTGATGAACTTCATGTTCAGTGAGAAACCCTATATTAAAGAAGGGTTATAAAGTGGGAGGGGAAAGTCAGCCAATACCAAATCTCTCCTCTGTATGTGTGTATGCACACAAGCACACTCGTCTGTGTACACAACTGTACAAAACCACAAGACTTTAAAACAGCACACAAAGGGAGGCAGAGAGAGAGAGAGAGAGAGAGAGAGAGAGGGAGAGAGAGAGAGAGAGAGAATTAATGAAAGAAAATAGTAAGTAGACTTGAAGAAATAATCTGAAGACCCAATACAAAAGATTCAGCATTTGGTTCATCACTTTGCCTTATTTTGGTGTTCCATAAAATATCAATTTTTGGAATTTCTACATGAGTTATGTCACAGGTAGACCTTGCCTTATAGACTATAATACTCTACTCCAGAAATCATCAATGTTTTAAGGACTGAACATGTGTGGCATTTGCATGAAATACCATGTTGTCTCTCAATATGTAACATGCAGTTTCTATGTCACAGTGTGGATAAATCTGGAGGAGATTGAACTTGAAAAGAAACACAGACTATTATCTCATATATTACATTTCCATCTCACTGAGAGTTAAGGACAGATAAATCCTAGAGAAGCACTGTTGAGTGAGGACAGGGACATGGGAACATGGGGTGCACAGGGGATGCATGGATTTCTTTGTATCTGAAGTTATGTTAGGAAGTAAAGAGCTGGGGACTCCCCAGCATTGAGAACACTGTAATTGTCAGGTTTCTGCTCACATAAATGGTTGCTCATGTGGATTTCACAAAAACCTTGAACTTGATGCAGATAGAGAATTAAATGAGAAACAGTGATTTGAATTGAAATTAATAAACCTATGAATGGTACAGTGAAAATATCTGTATACTCCCATGGAGAAAACACACATTTGAATTGAATGAGGCTGTGAGTTCATGCCAGAGAGAGATAAAATCATACAGAACACAAGAGACAAAAATGTTCACTCTCTTGCCAATGTGAGATGTGGAGAGATACGTCTATGTCCAAGTCTCTAAGCTATGTCACTGACTGTGACAGATCTGTGCCCCCTCAGACCAGAAATTATTTACCATCATAATTGACATTATGAGAAATATTGAAACATCTAACACAGGAGAGATCAATATCTGGAAAGAGCAACCGCTAAATTCTCAGTAGAGGAACTGTTTCACATGGCAGAAGAAATCACCATTGCTTATGTAATTATCATGCTAATAGCAGAAGTAAACAACAATAACTTAAAGCATAGTCTGAAATTATCAGAAAATCATGTAATTCTGAAGTCTCACATTCCCCAAGTCTAAAACGTTGAGTGCGTCTGAGACAGGTCTTTGTTCTGGGCACAGGGAGCCATCATGATGCTCTGACCCTCAGCCTGGGGCCAGCATGCTGCAGGGAGTCAGTGTTCCATCAGGGGGCGCCAAATCGTCATGGTTTCAACGGTATCCTTGAGCAGGTGCACTGAAGGCCAGAGAGCGCATCCTGTGAGCCCTGGCTTCCTCTCCCAGCCCAGTGTGCAAAAGAAACTGCAGGACCTTGGAGCTGGCAGTTGTTGGCTTCCTTTGACAAATCGCGTTTGTGCTTCTAGAGCATGGACTACACAGCACTCTGGTTCTCAACTCTTTCTTTCCTGTCTCACTCCCACTGCTTATGCTTTGCACCCTGTTATAATTGCCTGTCCTTAGTCCACACGATCAGCACAGACCACCATCCACATTCAAACAGCTCTGCTCACTTTCAGTCAGATAGGAGACATCCTTAGAAATCCAAGGTATCTCCCCACACTCAGCTGCCTGCTCTTAGCAAAGCTTCTGATGGTTTCAGGCCCTGTATGTGTCTATCAGCCATTGTCCTGTTGCTCTTTGTCTCTCATTACAAGCATGAAAGAGGGGAGTAGGTAGAGTCAGATTCCTGGAATATCAAGCAGTCTCGTTAAGTTTGAGTTAGAAAAAAATAGAAATAAGATTTGAACGATCCTAGGCTTGTCATGAGATTTCCAATTTATGCAGAAGGAATATTTATAATATTCCTCATATTTATTGTGTGTTACAACACTATGAGAAGTGACTCCGTACTTTATATTTTAGTGTGAGATTTTTCACGAGTTGACTTACTATTAAACTACTCTGTTTCCAAAAAGTTATAACTTTAATTATGTGCCCTTGTCTTTGTCTTGGTATATGAACAAGATTGTAGGTGCCCCAGGAGGCCGATGAAGTTGAATCCCCATGAAGCCATAATTATAGGTGTCTGTGAGCTACCTGATGAGCTACCTAGAAGTCAATCTCATGTCCTTTAGAATTCTGTACATTTTTTTTTTTTTGGTTTTTCAAGACAGGGTTTCTCTGTGGCTTTGGAGCTGTCCTGGAACTCGCTCTAAAGACCAGGCTGGTCTTGAACTCACAGAGATCCACCTGTCTCTACCTCCCGAGTGCTGGGATTAAAGGTGTGCGCCACCACTGCCTGGCTGGAATTCTGCACATTGTTATCCCCACTGATCCTTCTCATCAGATCTCTAAACTATTCTTTATGATAAGTCTGAGTCACCATTTTAATTATAATAACCTTCAATTTTGTATAAATAAATCATTTCCTCCAAACCTCCCCATGGAACCCCTTGCAATTGTTCAAATTTGTAACATTTATTACATGACATATGTGAAAGGAGAACACAGATTTCATAATTCTAAATAGAAATGTATCCTTATTTCTCCCTGCTTCTGAAAGAGTGATTAGACTCCAGTATGGGAGTATACAGGACCCTAAGAGATCAACAACAGCACACAACTGTTGCAATAAAGGTCTGATGCAGAGGTCTCAGTGTGCAGAGGGGAGTCTCCACTGGAAAGGATAAAATTCCTGAAGCTGTGTACACAATAGGACAGATTCATGATGAAGAGAAGGCATGTGCCACCATTGCCTTGTTACATGGGATCAGCCAGTGAAAATGTGATATACACAAGTGGATATGTCCCTGTGTAGACCAGGCTCAAATAGAGGCCTGGGGGAAAACACAACCAGTGTGTAAACATGAACACCAGACACTGAAATACATGGTGTTACCCACTAGGAGTCTTCATGTTACCCAACTGAAGTCTTGGATCAGATTTATGTTCACTTTTGTTCACTGGCTGTTCATATGCAAATGAACCTTATGCAAAGACTTCTTAGTAGAAATCTGAAGCTTATCTCCCTCACCCAGCAAGGGAGAGCCTGATTAGTCTCAGGAAGCCACAGATCCCCAAACTCATACAGCATGGAGTGAGCGTGGAGGCTCCTTTTTCTGCTGGCAGCTGCCCAAAGTAGGACATCGGAGCCCAGATCTGCAGGGTAAACTGAGGCATGTCCATGACCTCTCACTTCCCCATGTTCTCTCCACAGGTGTCACAACACAGATCCAGCTGGTGCAGTCAGGAGCTGAGCTGAAGCAGCCTGGACAGTCAGTGAAGATCTCCTGCAAGGCTTCAGGGTACACCTTCACACAATATGCAATGACCTGGGTGAAGCAGGCACCAGGACAGGGTCTAAAGTATATGGGCTGGATCAATACTGAAACTGGGAATCCAACATATGCTGATGACTTCAAAGGACGGTTTGTCTTCTCTTTGGACACGTCTGTCAGCACTGCATATCTGCAGATCAGCAGCCTCAAGGATGAAGACACAGCCATGTATTACTGTGCAAGAGACACAGTGTGAAAACCACATCCCGAGGGTGTCAGAAAACCTCAGGGAAGTGGTTCTTCTGTGCCCAGACAGCAACAGAGGAAATATCTGCCTCCTCCATGACTAGGATTATAAAGTTAGTAATTAGACACACAGGAAATTGATCTCTGTTTTTCGGTTGAATTGTCACAGTTCTGTGTTGACATTCAAGTCACATGAATAGGAGACGGAACATTTTATAGCATCATTAACTTGGTATATAACCCACAGTTAGCCAGGCATTGGTGGTGCATTCCTCTAATCTCAGCACTCAGGAGGCAGAGGCAGGCAGATCTTTGTGAGTTTGAGGCCAGCCTGGTCTACAGAGTGAGTGTCAGGATAGGCCACAAATCTGCCCAGAGAAAAACTTTTTCAACAAAACAAAACAAAAAAAACCCTACAGTTACTATAACACATCCATTGTGTGTAAATATTTAACAAACAATAATGACACCATGTATTAGAAACAGTAACCTCAGCCTCTGTCATGCTGTCAGAGAGATAAACCATCCAGTGATCTACATGCTTACAAATGAGAGAGCAAAGAGGGAGAAGACAGACAGCTCTGCTGGGAAGTGCTGACATGTAGAGCATCCATTGTTGACACTGAATCTGTAGACAACTGTGCTTGCATTAGGTCTACTTAGGTGCCTCACAGTGAATGTGAATATTTGAAGATAAAGCACACACATACATCAAGAAATGAATATTTACAGATGCTCAAAGCTATGGTACTGTGCAAGATAAAAACCCATAGTAATGAGAAAATGGAGTTGTATTCAACCTCCGGATTTATGAAGTTTAGACTGACTCCCCACGGGCAAGTGTGTCTTCTAGCACTAAGTTAAATCCCCTCCTGAGCAGTGCGAGCTCACATCTCTCTCACAGGAGGCTGATCTCTGAGAAAAGGGGGTGTAGCCTAGAAGATGAGACTGTTGTGTCTTCTGTACCTGGTGACAGCCCTTCCTGGTGAGTGTGACCATTTCATACATGTGTCCATGAGGGGATGTGACAACATGTGATTGACAGAATTGACTCTTCCTGTCTGCAGGTGTCCTGTCCCAGATCCAGCTTCAGGAGTCAGGACCTGGCCTGGTGAAGCCCTCACAGTCGCTGTCCCTCACTTGCTCTGTCACTGGTCACTCCATCACAAGGGGTTATGACTGGAACTGGATCAGGTAGTTTTCAGGAAAGAATCTGGAGTGGATGGGGTACATATGTAGTGATGGCACCAACTACAACCCATCCCTCAAGGGCCACATCTCTATCACCAGAGACACAGCCAAGAACCAGTACTTCCTTCATCAGAACTCTGTGACCACTGAGGACGCAGCCGCATATTACTGTTCAAGAGAAACTTTGAAGGACATCAGCATGAGCCCAGACACAAACCCCCTTGCAGATTAGCTCTGGGCCAGCAGGAGGTGCTCATCCTTCACAAAGTCCGGGAACTCTAAGTCTTCAGAGGTGGAAAGAAAAACACCTGGTTTCCTGTAACTTTGCTTCCTACTCCCTAATCCCAGAGAAGACAGGGTTTTTTTCTCTCTTTGAGGATGAAATGTTATCTTTATTTAATATCATATTTTTTCCCTCTTCACTGTCTCACTGGAGACAGATTGCGTAGTACTATTTCTTGGCTTTTTGGTTTTGTTGCTAGCACATAAGAGCTGAGCCTTCTCTCCTGTCTTAGGAATATATTTTTTATTAAATCCTCTTTTTGAAAGTTAGCTGGCCTTGGCATTGGAGCACTTGTCCCATTACATATTAATTCTATGTTTCATTCGTCATTCCTTCCACTCTCAGATACAAGTGCACATCACAGCACTTCCTAGATTATTAACATGAAACAGTTGCTGCTATGCCTAAGAAATGTGCCACAGACTAAAATGTGATCAACCCATCCCTGCACTTATATCACCCGTCCTGTAATGTAGGGCAGGGATTTCCTGAGGTTAGATGTCCATGACAGAGACACAAAGACTCTTGTGAAGGTCTTACCCCTACTGAAAGTTGGGATAATTCATTCAAAAGTTACAAATTTTGCATTGTGATTAAAATATCACATTAAACAAATTCTCATGCATTTACACTCATAATTATTATTTTGTAATTGTGTCATAGAAGAATGCTACTAGAAAACAGTTTGTATTTGGGACTTCAACTCCAGCATCAGTGTCATTGAAAATAAATCCACTAGACATGTTTTCATATATCTGAAACATTTGCCATGCCTTACTGTGCCAGAGACATGGGAGGACACTTCAGTGTGAACTCAGATACAACCACCCTTCAGAGGATCTTGAGAAATGCATAGCCCTTTAGGAACTGCTGAGCCCACTCAAAACACCTGGATGTCCTCATGTCATATGAGTGTGCCCATGAGTTTCCAGACAGACATGCCTATTTCAACTTCAACTTAGAATATGTGGTTTCACATGCTGAGTAATAAAAATCCCATGGAACCTTTGCTACAACTTATTTGTGACAATTAATAATTGCTTATTTTGTAATAACATATCATTATGACCCCATGGAGCAACTAAGATACCCATCTGCCACTTGTTGTTAGGTCAAATACACATAAATAAAACTCTCCATGTTTTTCCTCTCAGGTCTCTAACTTTCAGACTTGGTGATGATAAGTTCAGGAAATCACAGGCAAATTTAAATAATATAAAGAACTCTGCATTTATTTCCTATCATGAGGCATGGAATGGAGAGCTTCCAAGAGTGAATTCTATTACCACAGGTAGACGGGAAACAGGATGTGTACCTTTGCCAGCTTCCCATGTGGCAGTGCTCTAATGGAGTACAGATAATTCACATTTTTACACAATGCACGCTGGAAATTTATATCCTTGTATGGATTAATTTAAACCCAAGTCCCATGTAATGACTCCTTTGCAGGTGTTTCTTGTTCCCCATCTTGTGGAAAGTCTAAGTGACACTGGGCACCAGCCAGGTGATGTCATCTCAGGTCTCTGTTCTATCTTCCTTCCATTGGCAACACAGTTCCTTATCTCAGTTTTCTGTTTTCTGCTGTTTTCATGTTAATGTTGTCTGCATGCTCACTGCTGTGAGCACTGTGACTCAGCTGAGTGTAGGGAAGCTGCAGTGTTTACCTGTGAGTTAGAGAAGATCCCTGGGAGAAGTTGATGGTTGGTGTTGGTTCAGGGTTAAGGACAGCAGGTTTCAGGAATCTGAAAAATGAAAAGAAAATCTACTTTTCCAGTCCTGAGCCTTCTCTGGATTTAATTATAGTGACCTCAGCTGTGGGAGAAAATGTTTTTGAGAACTAAATGACTACACAGTAGTAGGTTAGTGCGGTCAAGACAAACACAGTTTATTGAACATCACAGTGTGAAGGTGAAAACCAAGGGATCCAGTGTGTATTCCCTAACCCCAGGGTGAGCTAAGGCCACATGGCTGTCAGTGACTTAGGGTGACCACAGGGAACCTGCAGGTTAGGCACACTGCTGGACACCAGAAGTCTGTGGATTAATTTCTCAATATTTCCCAGGGTTACTGAAGAAAAGACATACATGCATGAGCTATATTTAATGACTGTGAGATGACCTATTTCTGCTTTGTTTTGGGCAAATATTTTTTTCAACAACCGGATGAGTCACGTTGATACAAACCTTGTAAGCAAAGGATATTACTCACCAAGCCAGAGTCTCCTGATTATGGTCAGTGAGAAGTGAATTTTAACCAGGCCAGGA